GTCTCTTGGAGTCTTCCTTCACGCGGCGAGTGTCTCAACCCTAACACTCTCTCTTCTTTGTTAATACGCTAACACTATCTGCTTATTTAACTGCTTCACATTGTGAATTTTCGTGACAGATCACTATCTGTATCCATTACATCTCTGAAAAATACACCTCTACTTTCAAATGATCAACCCATTTCTTCACCAAGGAGAAGACTCAGAAAGAAAAGCTGGAGGCACTGGACTCGGCTTACCATAGACAGGGAAGAAAGTCAAGTGGCTCAGATGGCAAACGTTGAAGGCTTCAATGCTGACATCTCTCCAGATGCCCTGGGTGGGGAAGGAGGGGCCCCAGTCCCAGCTGAAGGAACACTGCTCCTGCCACACAAGGGAGAAGATGGTGCTGACCGCGCTGGTGCACACAGTGTGAGACACCACCTCCAGAATGCTACACGAGTACACCAGTAGCAAACGCCAGAGCCAGTGACTTCACCAAACCAAACTCCTGGCCTCTGGTTTCCAGAGGCCACACTGCCAAGACCAAGCTGTGTGGCCTCTTCTGCATCCCTGCTTGGCCTGCAGATGGCCCTTCTCAATATGTCCTGTGCTCAGGCATCCTCAGGGTCTCTCTGTTGTCCAAAGCCACACTGCTCATCCAAGATCCCACCCAGCAGGGGCTGGGGATTTAGCTCAGCGGCAAAGCGCCTGCCTGGCAAGCGCAAGGTCGTGAGTTCAGTTCCCGGTACTGGAGAAAAAAACCAAAAAAAAAAAAAAAAAAAAAGATCCCACCCAGCTTAACTTCCTCAACTGACATAATCACCTCCTTAAAGACTATCACCAAATACAGGGATGTCCTAGAGCACAGAAGTTAGGAGTTCAACGTAGGAGTTATGGGGACATAATTCAGCCCATATGTGTGTGTGTGTCTGTGTCTGTGTGTCCACATCATGTACAGCCCTCTGGAAGCCCACAATTATCCCCTCTAGTGTCTACACCCACATGCAGTACCCTCCCTTGAGGGCTTGGATCTAGACAGTCACTTCCAGCCAACCTATGGTACATGTGTTATTTGTTTTTCTTTTAAGATAACAGATGTTAATGTATAAGTTGTTTTTTGCCAAGCACGGTGTCGCACACCTGTAATCCCAGCATTTGGTAGGCTGAGGCAGGAAGATCACTGTGAGTTTGAGGCAAGCCTGGGCTACATAATGAGTTCAAGGTCAACCTGAATTACAGAACGAGACCCAGTCTCAAAAAAAAATGAGTTGTTTCTCCTAAACCAAACCTTCATTATTCAAGTTTAATTGCAGTGTTGGCACTTCGTGATAAGTGGGTTTGGAGTTGCAGTTTGGGCACTCATCTCTAAAAGGTAATCCACTGCTGCACTAGAACATAATAACGGAGGTGCTGTCACTTTCAGAATCGGGTGGAAGAGCACAAGGATGGTGCCCAGCACTGGTAAGGGGCTGCTGAAAGGCGGGGCCCCACCTAGGTGGGGCTGCGAAGAAAGCAAAGGCAGAGGGGACTTATTCCACACAGAGGGAGTGGAAGAGCCCAAGGATTGGTGAAGGAAGAAACATTTTCTTCCAATTGATGAGTAGCAGAGTGCTTGCTTAGCACGGGCAAAGCTCACAACTCAATCCCCAGCACCACAGCGGGGGAAATCCTAATGCCATCTGGAATGCTAACAGGGTCATGTGCTAGGATAACTTCAAGTCCTCTAGACTGGACAACAACTCCAGGAAAAACAACCACCTGCCTGATTTTCTTATCTTTCTGTTAGATTTTATGAGAACCTAGCAGTCACATATGAGACTGTGTCAGCAAAACATACTACCTTTGCAAAAGACTGCCTGGTCTCAAGAATCACTAACACATTCTCACAGCTGGTGACAAGTGTCATAAATCTACTATGTTAAAAATTAATCTGTAAAGTCACCTACACATTTTTCTTCTTTTTCTAATGTCACCTAAGTCCTAAAACATGCTTTAGGAAGAAGATCTAAAAAGATGTAGATTATCTACAAAAAGTAAGCTAATCTTTTGGTTCTTCCTTCAATTTTTTTTTTTTTTTGAGACAGGTTCTATGTATTTCAGGCTTTTCGCAATTCTCCTGCCTCAGCCTCCTGAGTTCTGGGATTGCAGCAGTGTGCCACCATGGCTGGCCTCTTGAGCCTCATTATAGGGTCTGGAAAAAGATTCAACTTCTGAACTGGCAAGGTGAGTCTTCAAACAGCATTTCCTACACCCAACATCGCATCCTCAGAGGCAAAGCCCTGACCTGAGCATACTACCTTTCGGATGAAGTTGACGTGGCACTCGCCATGCTGCTGGGGCGGGGGGCAGTCAGGCGGCACCGGGAGCCCGGTGTGGGCTCTGCTCTCCTGCGCCGCATACAGCACTGCCGACTGGAAACGTAGCTCCAGGGAGCTCACATCTCTGGCCATACTGGTGATGTCAAAGCTCTGGAACAGGGGAAAGCAGGTAAAATCCTAGGTTAAGGTAGAACACTTGGCAGATGCATAAAAAGGTTTCAAATCTTTGACTTCCCTGGTAGAGGGCCCCTCTCCAAAACCAGTACAAGGCAACTGCCCACTTTCCATTCTCACTAAGCCTGTGCTCCTACCCACGCAGGTTTCTAGGTTTCCTCCTGTTTTTACTGATGGGCCGGGTAAACAGCAGAAAATCTCCAGCCTGGAGTGTCTGTTCCCAGCGTGTGCACTCGGCTATCAGCCACCAAGGGTTCCGAGACATCTGCTACCAACCTTGAGTTCTGGAACACACAGCATGAGTCCCCGAGTCATAAGCTATTGCTGTTTTCAAAAGGCTACCCTTGAAAGGGAAGGGAGATCAGGAAACAGCCTCCTAGTGGAATTTCCCAGAAAGAAAACATTTTCTCTGAATAATCATTTGTCAACTGTCATTCCCATGAAAGTCTGTATCCCCAGACAAGAGAGAAAATAGTGCTGTCAAGCATTTGCTATGTGCCAAGCACTTGCCAACCACTCTTCCAATTCACCTATCAAATCCCCTCGATCACCTCCTTGGGACTGGTAAGGCTCCAGCCTCCTTCAAACGTGGCCGCTGAGAAATACAGTAACTTACCCAGCTAGTGCCTCAAAGAGCTCACACCTGTCACGTGGCCAATTACACTTATGCCTTTCTCCAATCACAAAAACAGCACGAACACACATGACTAGGATTAGCCTGAGGTTATTATGTACTTACATATCTACGGAACATGTTGTCTGTTTTCCCAACAAAGACATTATTGAAGAAGATTTCTGCCACTGTATCAACTCCCTCAAAAACCAAATTTACTTTCTGCCATTTGCTAAAAAAAAAGAAAAATTTGTTAAAATATAAGATGTATAAAACACTAACTTAGACATCTTTTTGTAATTAGGAACTAAAGAAATAAATATTTCACAGATAAAAATACATTTTTAAAAATACATTCTTAAATAGCAGCTTCCAATACAACTTTCAGGAGTATTGGTTTAACACATGTTCTTTGAGTAATCTAGTTTATCTTTCTCTATAGTGTATCAACCAATTGCCATAAAGTCAAGAGCACACTTATAGTTTCCAATGCAAAATTTTATTTTATTTTATTTTATTTTATTTTATTTAGTTAATTCATGATGTTCTTATGAGAACCAAGTTGAATAACTGACACAGACTTTTTCACAAATTATTACACACACTGATGCTAAGAGAACATGTTAAGCAGCAACCAGTATCTGTGAGTGAATATTATGGGCCCAGTACTCCGAGCTCCACAGGGAATCTGAACTAAGGGGTCTGCAATCCAGTTGTCACCCAAGCCTAACACACAAGAGACAGAAACTTTCTGTCTTTCCTGTTATCTACAGTGATGGCTTGTGCTGGACAGTGATTAGGGCTATTAGAGTCTGTCTCATAAATTAAGACTTTAAGGAGAAGACAAGAACTTAAAGACCAGATTAAGATGTGGTATAGCCATGCAACAAAACATCATTCAGCAAAAAAAGGAGCTCAGCACTGACACATGCTGCATTGTGCCAAGTGATAGCACCTGTCACCAAGAGCCACATATGTTACCATTCCGTGTACATGAGGCTTCCAGACCAGAAAGTACGTCAGCATTTGCCTACAGCGCCAGTAGAGGTGGGAGAAGGATGATGACTCTCTTTTAGGGGTGAGGACAATGTTCTAAAATTGATTACAGTGATGATTGCACAATTCTGTGAATACACCAAAAACCACAGAACTGATTTCTACTTGCAATGAGTGAACTGTATATTATGTGAATTATACCTCAATAACAAGTTGTTTATTTTTTTAAAAAGTATAAATGCCTTGGTAAAGGAAAAACACCCAGAGAAAGTACTCACAGCATTAATTACTTTAAAGTAAAAGACCTGGTGCACACCTGTAATCGCAGCACTCGGGAGGCTGAAGCAGGAGGATCACCACGAGTTCAAGGCCAGTTTGGGCTACATAGCAAGTTCAAAGCTAGCCTGGACTACATAGTGAGACCCTGTCTCAAAAATAAATAAATAAAAGATTTGATTCAGACACCTGCTTAGGGCTGGGGTGTACAGGTGGGTGGGGGCTGGGCAGACAGTGAACCAGGAATAGCAACACCTGGCAGGATCACGCACAAGCAAAGACAGGAGCCTCATGTGTTAAGAAAAAGAAAGGTACTTCCCCTTCTTCAAGGGGAAGAAAGGTAAGGAAAAGAAAGGTACGTCAAAAGTACATCATGGCAAAAATCAGTATTTTGGGCAGGTAAATCTAATGCCTCTACATAGGGAAGACCAGATTAAAAAAACAAAGCTAGAAATGTACAGGCAGTTTCAGCTTTTGCCAGGCACTCACTTCTGGGCAACGATGAAAACTTGGAAATGAGCAGGAAGGGGCTCAACCAAGAAAAATGTTAGAGGCAATTCAGATTCAGGATGTTATAGCTGATATGTGGATGATCCCCAAAGCCTCACGTGCTCACAGGTGGGGCTTTTGGGAGTGACTGGATCATGGGGGTATGATACTGGATTATCGCACTGATTGGTCTAGCACAGTTCTGGGTGTGGATGATGGACTTACTGAAGAGGGAAGACCCACCCTGGGTGTGGGTGGCACCCACAAATATGCAGGCTGGATGGAATAAAAAGAGAAAAATGGAAGGCTCCCTCCCTTCTGCCTGCCCTGCCATGGACTGTTTCTCCTCTGTTGTGCCTCTCTGCCATACTACCCTGCCTTGGAGCCAGCCGACTATGGACTGAAACCCCTACAAACCATGAGCTAAATAAACCTCTCTTCCTTTAACTTGTGGGTGTTGGCTATTTTGTCCCAGCGACAGCTAAGATAAGCAACAGCTAAAATAGAGAGGTGAAGAAAAGACCCAAGAGCCCAACCACTGTAGTTTCTAAAGTGGTGTAACATCAGGAGAGACGCAAGGCTGTCATGACCTAAACTGATTAGTGAAAGGGAAAGTCAACTGGTTGAATTTTGGAGATGTGGAGCCCAAAGTAAAGCAGGACTATGTTAAGAGATATTTCAGGTTTCTTCTAAAGCCTGGAGCAGCAAAGTAACTTCAAGATAATTGTGCACAGTATTCTATTTTTAAGACTAGTATTTTTATAAAATTTTCATATAAAACAGAGGATTTTTTACTTTAATGATAATGGCAGTACTGTATATGCCCTTAGATTATATTCTGCTTCATACAGAAGCATTTGTTTATAATAACACAGAATTTTACTGAAAACAACACAAGACCTTCTTTCATGACCTCAAGTCACAGTATAAGGACAAGGCCATGATCTCAGTGGCTGGTCAGCATCACACAGAACAAATGCTATACCTTTCACTCTACTTAACCATACTCCACATATACGGTACAGACCCTATTGGTTACTAGGGGGAGGGAGGTGTTTACATAGAAATATTGGCCAAGTCTAGGCAGCTGTGACAGAACTGAAAATGCCATGGCTGATGACCAGGGGCACCATCCTTACACAAAATAAAACATAAATTATATATTTACTCTTACAGTAGAAGATTTAATCTGAGTTAATGCTCTGATATATAACATAAGCAAACAAAAGAAAAGAAGAAAAGCTCAAGTAATGATGAGTACAGTATACATGCAAGTGTGTACACACCTGATATCAAAGGGGAATTTAAATTCATTGATATATGTCCAGTTGTCCAAGGAGATCCATCGGTAGTTAAGGTCATTAAATCTGTAGTAAGGGTCCTGTTCAGACAGGGGAAAAAATACAGTAGATAACTACCTATGCAAAAATCAACATAAAATAAACAGACAGCTACTGATCACCTAAAAATTAATGAACATTTGGCCCAGGAATACAGAAAAGTTAGATCACCAACACTAAAAAAATATGAGGGGAAAAATTCAAACCTGAAAGACACCTGAATTCGGACACCTGAAAGAGTTGTAAGATATAAACAACATAGTTTTGTAGATTTTTTTTAGTGTTTTGTTTTTGTCTTGTTTTTTTGCTTTTGCTTTTTTGAGACAGGGTCTCACTATGTAGTTCAGGCTGGCCTTGAACTCACTGTGTAGGCTAAACTGGGCCCAAATGTGTGGTGATCCTCCTGCCTCGGTCTCCTGAGTGCCGGGATTACAGGCATGTAAAACCATGGCTGGCTATATAGTCTCCTTATCAAAGAACCTGCATGGAGATTGAGGTCAGCTGCTCTTGCTAAACCAGACCCCTGCTCCAGCTGGCCCCCGGGGAGCACAGGTCCTCCACCACCCCTGACATCAGCAAAACATACGCTCCTGGGGCTCCCCTTGCATTTCACACGTTATCACACAGCCTGACTAGGCGGGCACAGAGAGGGCCTCTACAGAGGAGCTAAGGCAGCACACACTGCGCCACCTCCAGACTCAGAGTCCCCAGGATGCAGATCATGTCAGCCACAGGCATAAGGCCACTCACTGCTGCTGCTAGTGGCCAGAAAGCTGGAGTCACCTGAGCCCATAAACAACAGAGGCTGCCTTCCCTCCACCTGCAGGGATGACATAGCCCAAAGCCTGAGACCAACTCCTGCCCTTAGCGATGGCTTCAAGCTGTCCTCACAGCTTGGCCCACCCACCTGCACGTGCAGCCCTGTATCCTTACATATTCCTCCCACCCATTCTCTACCTTCCCCTTTCAGAGAGGACGCCTGGGCAAGAGCAGAACTGAAAGCAGGAAGTGAGTTTTTTGGTTCATCTGTGACGGTCATCACAGCTCCAGAGAAGGAGCAGGGTAGGTCCCAGCCCTGTCACTTTGCAGGTACAAGACCAAGGTTTTCCTTAGAGACAGCCACCCAGATGGAGAAGGAAAAGCCAGCATCACTTCAGGTGCGAGATGGAGGACCACACTGGGCTGGTCTAGGCACCTGGGAGCACATTCAGATCAAGACTGGGAGAGATCTTTCAATAGGCGGCCAGGGGAGAGAGTAACTGATAAACCTTAGTAAGAACTGACAGTCACCAAACCGATTTTTAAGATCTAGTGAATGGCAAGGTTTAAATCTGTTAAATGGTATGTTTCAGGCTGGTCCAACTTCCTCTATCTCTACTCTTCTCACCCCCAGCACCCCAGCTTTCCAGTGAATAAGTGTTTAAGACACAGTTTGAAAGAGTCACTCTAGTGCTGAGTCTGACCACATGTCTGACCAGCCTCATTTCTAACATTGCAGTCTGGACCTCATCCAGCACGGTTATAAACGTCAGGAGGAGAGAAGGGGGACCTCTCAGCTATGACGCTGCATCCTCAGCCCGAGGTTGGCAAGCCATGTGGCTGGCAGAGCACGTCCCATCCTTCTCGGCTAACTCCTTACCACATGGCGAGCTCCGGAGGGCAAGCTTCTGGATATATTTGTAGAACACATGAACAGAGTTTAACATTCAAATGGTTTTCCTCCAGCTCAAAAGAACCCAAGTGAGGCAGCTTCGTACTGTTCCAAATATTCAACCTTCTGGAAGCTCCAGAACAGCCCAGAAGGCCTCTGCACTGCCCTCCAGCAGACCCGAACAAGCCCAACACGGAGCCAAGCATTCTCAAGGCCGCCAACTTTAAGAACACAGGCAGATCGACAAACAGCCATTTCTCCTGCAAACAGCTGACTCCACCAACTGAGAGAGTACACAAGGAAGTCCTCCCTGCTTAACCCCCAACAAGAAAAACCGTCTGCAGGACCTCACATTAGCCAACCCAGTTTCTTTTCCTACCATTCACTTCCTTGTTTCTATCTTCAAACCCACTCTCTGCCATGGGCTGGTGGGAACGCTCCATCTACTTTAGAGATCAGAAGGCGTTCTGATTTATGAATTATGAATAGAAATTAATTCAATCTTGTTAAATTTTGTTGAAACTTGTTGAAATTTTGCCTTTTGACATGGAAAAGGCAAAACCATGCAGATAGTAAAAGGATGGGTGGAGGTCAAGGGGTGGGAGAGAGAGAGGGGTGAATCTGTAGGGCAGCCAGGCCATTCTGTGTGGCTCTATGGTGGTGTATGTGTCATCATACAGCGGCCCAATCCCACTGGCTGTACCAGCAAGGGAGCCCTCTTGTGACTGTCCTAAGTGTGCCGCTCTGGAGGAAGACATTGTCAGTGGGGACACTCTGCATGGGGACAGGAGGTATACAGAACTCTGGACACTCCAGTCAGTTTTGCTGTGAATCCCACACATGTTGTTTTTAAAAAGTCAATTAAAACTTTTGATCTTACTAAAGGAAAATACTGTACCAAAAATAAAAAGTTGCAGAGACATAGATCACATTTATAATAACTACTCCCAACACTCATCAACTAGCTTAACTGGCTCCATGTTAGTCTCACACCTTTGATCATACTACAATTCTGCACCAGCACCTTGGGGAAACCTCCCATGCCTGAGGACACACATAAGTCACCAAGTCCTTGAGCAAACTGATGGCCTTAGCCAGTGATGGCACTGCAGGTGAGCTGTCAACCACATCCTGCCTCCTATCTTCAAAACTTTCCACTCCTATCTTCACAATAAACATGTACAGGGAACATCTTTTTTTTAGAGGAAGAACCTAATACCCCAAGAGGTGAAGTGAGTTTCCAGAGGTCCCATGCCAAAACAGAAGTGCATCCAGGAATGAAACCAGCTTAGTCCAATGCTAAGGCCATGTGCTTTCAACCAGACTTCAAGGCTCCATGCCAGTGTGCTTACGCTTCTGTATCAGTTGATCTCTACAACAGCAATATCAACAAGTGTGACCCTGCTGGGTAAGCACTGTCATCATCCCCATTGTCTAACAGAGGCCAAAGCTCAGAGTCAAATGGCCAGTGAGTAATGGAGTACTGACAGACTCAGGCTATATGCCTTGTGCAGTCATGAGTCTCACAAACACCACCACCAGTGACACTGTCAGAGTGACTCACAAAGCCAGACCGTGAGGTCAGCATGGCGGGTGCGTGCCTGCACTAGTTACTTACAACTGACATCCACCCTCCTCACAGGACATCATCAAGCCATGTGTCACTGCAGCATGCACGAGTCCTGCTTCTGAGTAATCTCTGGGCGCCACCTGCTACCTCTGCTGCCAGCCATGGGACCACTGCCCACGTACAGACTTTCCACTCCCACACGCTGCTCCACTCCAACCACTGGCTCTACCTCAGACACAGCGACTGCAGAGTTAAATGGGGGAGGATTTTAGAACCATTCCCCTTCATAGGCATCATTCTCTGGAACATTTAGATAAAAATAAGTAAATAAATGTTAAGAAACCACTTACACGAAAACAAGCAAAAATGAACAATATATTGATTAAGAGTTACAGATATTTGGTCAAACCTTAATGTGTAAAACGCAAGACAATGATAATTCAGAATAGCAGTACTATGACGTGTGGCTCAGGCACCCCAGATGTCTACTTGGTGCTGCTCAGCCCCAGCTTGGTACTTGGGAAGCACTGGAAATGCCAATAGCTGGGGCCTGGAAGGAGGCCTCCCAGCCACTGGCATGTGCTCTGCAGGGACCATGGGTCCCCCAGCCCTCCCTCTTCCTGCTTCCAGCTGCCTGGTCAAGAGGGAGCAGACAGTGCCACAGGACGTGGTACCACAGGCCAAACAGCAGGCACCTGATCACAGACTGAAAGGTGCTGGGCTAATGCCAAAAGAACCCTTTCTCCTTACTAGGCAATGATCGCAAGGCTGCACAACCACGGAAGACACTGACCCAAGGTGAACTCCAGGGCAAGTGGGCAGTGGGACTGGGGAGCGGCAAGTGCACAGATACTCTTTGATTACCAGACTATAAACACGTGTGCATATAATTTCCTGTGATCAGGCACCTGATCACAGACTGAAAGCTGCTGGGCTAATGCCAAAAGAACCCTTTCTCCTTACTAGGCAATGATCGCAAGGCTGCACAACCACGGAAGACACTGACCCAAGGTGAACTCCAGGGCAAGTGGGCAGTGGGACTGGGGAGCGGCAAGTGCACAGATACTCTTTGATTACCAGACTGTAAACACGTGTGAGTATAATTTCCCATGGATCAAGTACTGCATAATAGAAAATGAACAAAATGTTCTTCTGGCAAGCTGAGGCACCCAAAGGAGGTGAGAGTGTTTGTGCACTCCACTCAGAAAAAGCTGAGCTCCCCAGCCTCAGTTTCTGCTCTGAGGCTGCATGGCACAGCCCAAGAATCAGACCGAGGACTGGATGTCACTGTCAGCCTGAATGTCACTGTTACCTAAAATTCTGCTGCGGGTACATGTTGCTTCTAGCGCAGTTCTGGGCAAAGATGCTGCAGTTTAAGAAGGCTCCTCATTTATCTGACCAGAGATTGCTATTTAGCAGGAAAAACAAGACAGGTGATTTGCTTAGCTCACTTCCAGGTGCCAAGCATCTCGTCAGGGGCTTAGAGGAAACACATGCTCCCCTCCACATGCTCCAGGGTGGCTCTGGGAGCCAGGACACTGACACTTGGGGGATCTGCACCAACAGGAGACTCAGGTGGGAGGAGGGGGGTCACACCCGGTATTTACTGCCTCTGAGATGGGGCCAGGAGGTGCACTGGGCTCCAGTTTGGGCCTCAAAGCTAGGGACCTTGAGAAACTGCGAGGCGCTGACATCTGTCTGCCTCTCCATTCTGGAACAGAGATAAGAACTGTGCATTCAGCCTCTCAGAGTCAGCAGAAATTGGCAAGAGGCGATTACCAAAGGCGCTCAGAGCTGCTCTCGCCATCATGCGAGCATGC